CCGCGCGCCCGACGGTGACCATGGCGCGCGGCGACCGAGACGACGCCGACCCGCCCCGTCCATCGCGCTTCTGGATCATCTCCGACAAGCGGCTCGCATCGGGCGCGACCTTGACTTTCTTTCCCGAGTTGGAACGTGGACTCGCCCTCATCGACGAAGTGGACTTTTTCTTCTTGGGAGGGCCGCCCGCGGAAAGCCGTCCATTCCTTTGGAGACGGCTTGGCGTCGAAGGCGGGGCAACGACTTTGGCGGCTGAGGCCGGGACCGATGTCGGGGTGGCCCGCGGCCCCTCCGCTAGCTCCGCCCCTGCCCCGGGCGGATCCCGCCCTTTGGCGAGCGCCACCAACTTGGCCATCTATGCGTCCGTCTGGCAGGTTTGCGGGCGGCGGGCGGCCCCCGAACGGGTTGCCGGCCAGTCGCCCCCCAAATCGGGCCCGGAGCGGAGGCCGACGTTTGCCGTCCGTTGTCCGTGGCCGGAGGCCGCTCTTGTATTCGTTGTGCGGTCCATGAAGAAACATCTGCCAAATGTTTGTCTTCTCTCCGTCTTTGGCCGACGGCACGGCCACGTTTCCTCTCCTCTCCTCCCGCGTCGTGTTTGGCGTTTGGCTCTTGTTTTGTTTTCCAACTCCCTCGTCTGTTTTGAATCTGCCCTTTTGAACGGAACAGTGCGAGTGCGCGTTTTTTGGGGGGGGGCGTGGTGGGGGCGGGCGTTTGACCCCGCCCATTCGGCGCGCGTCACTCGGCCGCTGATTGTCCGTCCAATTAGCGTGGGGCTGTGACGTCACCGTCGGGCTCCGACGAGGGACGTGGCGCGGCGGCTCTCCCCAGTCGCCTTCGGAACCCCCCTCCCCTCGGCGGCGCGCGCCGTACGCGGACGCTCATGAGGACGGACGGCGGCCATGGAGTCCACCCCGAACCCGAAGCCGGTACCGGCGCGACGCGTGTGCACGCTGACGGTGCTGCTGTGCGTGTGCCCGTTGTGCTGCCAGGCCAGCTGGATGTGAGTGCCCTTCCCAACTCTTCTTTTTGCGGGCGACCGACGAGGGGGGGGGGCGGCCGGGTGCTCGGGGGTCGTCAGTTGAAGGCTCGCCCGCGGACGCACGTGTGGCTCGTTATTCCGAGAAGGCGCGGGCCTCGCCAGGTGACTTCGGATCGCTCGCTCTCTCTTCCCATCGGCGTCGGACCGGCGCTCCGCCGATCGTCGTTTCAGCCGCGGGGGGGGCAAGAGCGACAAGTGCATTTCTTTCTCTCCGTCGAGCGGGAATTCCATTCGCCGCATCGACGTCGAGTTTGAAAGAAGCGCTGAGCGGCGCGGCGGGGCGAGGGCCGATTGCGGAAAAGGGAAAGGAGGCCATTTTGGACGGCGAGTCGCCGATTCCTCCCGGTGACAACTCGTTGACCGCGCGATCGAAGCGTCGGAAATTGGCTTCTTCCAAGCCCGACAGCGACGTCGTGCTCGGCTCTTTTCGCCCCAACCTTTTTTTCCCGTGATTGTCGCGGCAAATGATGGAGGCGGCTCCGGGGAAACGTTGGCTCGGTTCCAGTGGAAACCATGTGGCGGTCTTGCTTGCTTGCGCTCGCTCGGACGTGTCCAAATGCTTTTCTGCTTTTCTTTGAAAGAAAGCGCCCGGAACGCAGGGGCGATTCTCAGATCGCACGTCGACGGCTTTTTTTTTGTTGTTGTTCTCACAGCGCTTCCGGATCGTGGCTGTCACATTTCACACGCGCCAACTTCTCCGGGGGCAGGATGGCTCCAGGATGTGTGTGTAGATTGATTCGGGGGCTGAGAAAATAACGTCTACTTGTCTGCCGGGAACCATTTTGGAGCCTCAAATGGGATGCTTGGACTTGCTCCCGCGACTGGCTTTGCTGGGCCGTCGAGCCGCGCACGAAATAGTATCGCGAGCGCTCACCCCGTCCCTCCTCCTCCCTCGCAAAAGAGAAGCGCCCCCGTCGGCGCGAGCCTCCGTTTTGCTCTGACGGCGCTTTGTGTGTTTTGCGGCGGAGGCTGCTGGGCGCCGACGGGCCGGACCATCGATGGTCCCGGGACGGCGGCTGCCGCTCGCTCCCCCTGAGCGCCCGGCAGCGCGAGGTGTGCCGCAAGCGGAGCTTCCTGGCGCCCAGCATCGTGGACGCCGCCCGGCTGGCCCTCGGCGAGTGCCAGAACCAGTTCCGGCACGAGAGGTGGAACTGCTCCGGCGGCCGCGACCCGGCCCTCTTTGGACACCAGCTGACCAGCGGTAAGACTGGACTAACTGGCGCAGGTACGCCGAACCCGTTGCAAGGCGAGTCACAAATTCAGTCGTTGGTCTTTTGGGGAGGGAACCCTTCTTTGGCTGTCTGATTGTTTTTTGGGGGGGGGCGGGGGCTGGCATGATGGCAGCACTAGTCGGTCGGTGGTATCCGCTGTTTATAAACAAAAAAAAAAAACGGAATGGAAAGCCCCAGAGTAAGTGGACTCTGTTGGTCAGCCGTCACTGTGTTGCGCTGCCCCCTAGTGGGCGAGTTGCGCCAGAAGAATTGAGGCGCCTCCGTGCTCAGCCAGGGAGCGCCGAGCGATGTGCCGTCATCAAAGGCGTTTGATTTGGAAAAGTGCCGTTTCCTTGCTGGCTTCCAAGGAACCAAAGAGACGGCGTTCGTGTACGCGGTGATGGCGGCCGGCCTGGTGCACGCCGTCACGCGCTTCTGTAGCCGCGGCAACGTGAGCGAGTGCGGCTGCGACGCCCGCCTCCAGGGCCCGGCGGAGGCCTGGCACTGGGGCGGCTGCTCGGACCACGTCCAGTACGGGACCTGGTTCAGCCGGCGCTTCCTGGCGCACGCCGCCGTCAACGCCTCGGCCGGGACGCGCGCGCAGGCCCTCCTCCGGATGAACCGGCACAACAGCGAAGCCGGCAGGCAGGTCCGAAACGCACTCCTCCTCCTCCTTCTTCTTCTTCTCCTGGATAGTTTCTCTCAAGTCCCCGGGGAAACGGCCCGGCGCAGCCCCGCTTTTCTTCCTCCGTTTTCTCGGCCCTCGTCTTCGGCGCGCCTTTCTCTCTTTCCTCTTCGTTTGTTCTTCGTTCTTGTTCCTCATCGGCTCGCGCTTCTTGGGCGGCTCTCCCGCAGGCGGTGGCGACCACCATGTCGACGGACTGCCGCTGCCACGGCGTTTCGGGCTCGTGCGCCGTGAAGACGTGCTGGCGGACGATGGCGCCGTTCGGCCGCGTGGGCGCCTACCTGAAGGAGCGCTACGAGGGCGGCGTGCGCCTCAAGAGGAAGGAGCCCCGGGCGCCCGACAAGCACCAGCTGGTCTTTGTCAGCAAGTCGCCCAACTACTGCCTGGAGGACCGGCGCGGCGGCGTGCTGGGCACCAGGGGGCGCCGCTGCAACCGCACCTCCGGGGGGCCGGACGGATGCAAGCTGCTGTGCTGCGGCCGCGGCTACGACACCCGCGTGGAGCGCCACGTGCGCCGATGCGCCTGCAAGTTCGTGTGGTGCTGCTACGTCCGATGTCGCCGATGCGAGAGCATGAGCGACGCGCACGCCTGCAAGTGAAACGCCCGCCGCCGCCGCGGACTGCTTTGGCTCTCGGCCTTTTCCCAAATAAATCCCCGCTCCATCCAAAAAAAAAAAAAAGGCCTTCTCTATGTCTCTTCGGGCACCTCAACAATCCAACGGTTTCCAATCGGGCGTGCGACAATTGATCGGTGAGCCTGCGATGAAAGGGATTGATGTGTGTGTGTGTGTGCGCATAGATATATATAGAGATGTTTTTGAAACTTCACATTGTCCAAATCCTCTGATTTTAGCCTCCAACGGTAAATGAAAACGCGCAGATCATCTTTGGCTTTTCTTGAGGACATCCACCAACAGTTTTTGTCGATTTTCTGACAGATGTTTTGAATCAAACCAGGAACGGATTTTTTTTTTTTTTTTTTTTTTGCTGACTATTCTGTCCCGTTTTCAACAAAGTGACCCAAATTGTTGTTTGCATCGGATTCATCATTTAAGGATTGACAATGCGAAGTTTGGTGCCTGACTTTCAAGGGCAATAAGAATCGTCACGCAAATGCTTTGTCCTGCACGCGTGCATGAGCGATGACGGGCCACAATGTCGGAGGAAAGGGCAACGAGTGACTTGAATTCACCATCCGGGATGTCCTGCGGTAACCCGGACGCGCGCGTATTTTGCCCGACGCCAACATAGAGACGCAAGGTCCAGAATCCTCTCAGGTCAGTTTTGGGAGTCGGAGCAACTTTTCGCTGCATGAGTTGAAAATCAACGTCAACGCTTTGATTTACAGGAAACTTGCGAGCGTGTCGGCGATTGTTGCGACGGGATCGAAAAGGTCGAGAGGACGTGAGGGGCAGCGAGGACGTCGCCCTGCGGACAGCGCGCCTGCTGCTCGGCTTCTGGACCGGGACGCGACGCCGGAGTCCGCATCCGAACAGGTCAGAGGTCGTTTTGTGGCGGTTTTGATTGAGGCCCAGCGGCGCGCTCAAATGACCGACTGCCCGTGTGTGCGCGCGCCCTTTTTTGTCATGTGTGTGCATCGAAAGTATTTGGGTGTCCTACGCCCATCATGGAATCATCCACATCAAGCGGGAAAGGTTCTCTTAAAAACAAAACCAAAAGGTGTTTTTCATGATTTCTTCCTCCATTTTTAATAGTCATCCAATTTTGCGTTGCTCCACCAGACTACTACTCCCAAGATTTTCAGTTCGGATGGATATAGTTCCATATATGCGTGAATGGACGCAACAGTGAAGCCACCGACGGCCATTTTACGTTGCCGCACTTGAAGGCGTTGATTTCTCGCTGGCGTTTTCACATTCTTTTTCCATCTCTGCGGTGGTTTCAGGCCCCAAACGTCTTTTTCTGCACAATAACTTTTGACTCTCTGAGGTCTTTTTTTATCTGTGCTCCACATGTTGTTCCCACTGGCCGGCCACTTCACCGCTCGACTGTCATCCAGTTTGTCACTTAAAAAAAAAAATTCAATATGCTACTTTGTCAAAGAAATAAAGCTAGATGACAAAGAACACTTTGACTCTCAACTTCATTCTTCAAGGCATCACAAAAAAAAAACCCGCCGTTGCCTCAATTAAAAAAAAAAAAAAAATCTTTGAGGGTGGGGGGGGGCATAATGCGGAAGTGGGTGGGGAAAGGCTGGAAACATGCCCCATTATTGGCTGATGGCTCTTAGATGGCCGGAGCGACAAGGATGAAAGGCTGCGATTGGTTTTTTCTCTAGTAGGCGTGGCTATGTAAATGTAGCATCGCCGTGATTGGCGGGCTCCAAATCAGGCCGAGTTTGGAGGCGGTGGCGGCAGCCGGTCGTTTTTCGAAGGCTCGTTCTTCCGGCACGAGTGGCGGCGGAGTCGCCGCGAGGGACGCCGGCGTTCGGTCCTTCCCATGGACGACCCGAAGCCGGACGCGCGGCGAGGTTCCGGGCGCTCCGAGTCCCGCGGAGACAAACGGCAGTCGGAAGCTTCCACTTGGCGTCCACGGTCGTGACCGCGGTGCAACTCTCAGCTCAAGACTTGAAACGCGGACACGTTTGGCAACCCGTATGACGACGACGACGAGGAGGAGAAGAAGAAGAAGCACTTGTTCGGTGGTAAGAACGCGAGCCTTTCGCGTGCCGCTCTGAGTTTCGGTGTCAGGTTCTCCGAGTGGGTCCCGCGCCAATTCTCTCGGGGCTCGTCGACACCGCACAGACGAATGAACGGGAGGAGCACCTCGAGGTCGTCGCCTGCCAATCTTCCATCGGGAAACATCTTTCAAGCCCAAATCCTTCTCTGCGGCGCTCACACTGGTCGATGACAAGTTGCACAGGAGGAAGTCAAGGTGAGCGCGCGCCCCCCCACCCCCACCAATTTTTTCCAAATATTATTCATTGGTTGATTTGCTGGCAAGCACTTGAAATGCTTCCGAAGGGCAAGCTGATTGGTTTAGCGCCAGCACGACTCAAGCCGCAGGCGTGGAATTGAGATGAGATCCTCGGACTACTTCCTGTCGGCCGACTCGGAGTCTCCCCCGTCTGTCCGAGACTGGCGTCGGAACCCTGACCCTTTTGGGACCGGGCCACTTCCCGCACCGCCGCCCTTTGGCGGTTTTCACTTTCCCAGACGTGAGCGCTAACCCTTCCCCTTCCGCCACTTTTAGGGACCGCGTGCGTGGCAAGCACATGACTTGTGTGTGGACAGGACCTGCTGCAGGGGTGCTGACCAATATTGAAGAGGCGTGCGGGAATGCTTTCCGCAATGTGCGCGTGTGTGGCCGCAGAAAGATACACGGAGCGCACGTGTAGAAAAGGAATGCCTGCATAAAGATTTCGATATGTGTAAAGTTGCGTATATGTGCGCATGTTGGGATGTTGACAGGAGGCGTTGTCCAACGTCGTCCTCCAGGACAACGAGGAGGTGCCGGCGGTCCTGGCGGCGCGCGGGGCCCTCGGAGCATCTCCGCTTCGAAGCCGGCCGACGAGGAGGCGTCACAAGCGGACACGGCGGTGAGCGCACGCAGCACCCCGACATTCCGATGACCTCGTGAGGCCGGCCGCCCCACCTTGCTCCCGAGACAAAAGCAGCGTCTGTCTTTCAAATATTACCCGCTTGTCGGTGAAAGGGGGCGGGGGGAGTCATCTTGATGGCCGTTTTTTTTTTTAACCTGTCACTCAGCCCAAAGTTGTACACAGTAGGGGGGATGCAGCGCCTTTCAAATATAACCCACCTCTCAATTTGATGCGGGAGATCCACTTTGACTCGACACCTCGGTCAGCCAAAAGTTGCACAAGTGCGGCGTTTCCCAGCGGACATCCACTTGGAGAGGCTTTGCTATCTGGAGGGCATAAGAGCCCAAAGCAAGTCGCCCCGAGGAGGAGGAAGCAGAAAGGACACAGAGGCGCTCGGATGGCAAAAATAACCTTTAATGCTTTGAATTGGCGACGCGTGTCCGGGCCGCGTCAGCCGTCCGTCACCTCGCCGATCCACGAGTGGTAATCGGCCACTTTGGAGAAGACGGCCGGCTTGCCGGGGTCGCACCGACGACTGCCCCATGTGAGCAACCCGAACAGGAAGTAGGTGCCGTGCTTCTGGCAGAACAGCGGCGCCCCCGAGTCGCCCTGCGCGAGAACAGCGGGGGGGGAGCCTTGAGCCGCCGGCGACTTTTCAAAGTCCGGCCGACGGACGGGAGGCGGTACCGCGCAGGCGGCGCCGGCGACCGGGTGGGCGCACACGTGGCCTTCGTCCACTCGGCCCCGGCCCCACTCGGCCCGGCACTTGGTGCGCTCCACCAGCGGAACCCCGGCGTGGTGCAGACGCTCCGCATTGAGGCCGGCTAGCGAGAGCGGTGGGGCGTGCGCGTCGTCGTCGCCGCCGATCCCCAAGACAGACAGACGAACGGATAGCAGGCGGCATTTGATTGGAACTTGGCCACAATCAAAAGGAAACCGTCTCTCTCTCTCTCAATTGATTGATTGATTGATGAACCCTTGTTCCTTGTCCCGTCTCCTCCCCCTGTTTGAGGACCCCAGATCAGACATTACCGGTGGCCGATGTCGCCCCCCAGCCGGCGCTGATGCATCTCCAGCCGTCATCCAGCTCCTCGTCCTCTTCGGCCACGCAAAGCGGCGTCACGCCGGCGCCTGCAAATGAGACGGACGCGTCAGGGCCGCCGTCGGACGTCACGTGACCGGCGAACCGAGGACGTCGGGCCCACCGAGCCTGGCGGGAACGGCGAGGCGGAGCAGCGAGAGGTCGTTTTTGGGAGGGAAGCCATCTTCCTGGGGCGGGTCAAAGACCCGGTCCACGGGGACGGTCTGGGACGGAGACAGGCCCAGGTCGTGCCCCCCCAAGACGGCCACGTCCTCTCCCGCGCTGCACGCAAGCAAAGTGGCGACGCTGGGGCGGCGGGGAAGAAAAAGGGGCGAGCGCTTCCGGCGAGCTTACCTGACCGCGCAGTGTCGCGCCGCCAGCACCCAGCGGCGGCGGATCAGAACCGCGCTGCAGTAATGGACGCCGTTCGCCTGGAGGCTGACCTGCCAGGGCCACGCCCCCGGACACGCCTCCGTCAGGTTCTCCGCTCTCGCCGGGCCGGCCCGCGGCGCCCGCAGCCCCGCCGGGCCCGGAAGGTTCTGGCAGACGGCCTTCCGCCGCCGCCCGCACCATTCCTCTGCGGGCGCGGCGTCACAGCGCGTTGACTCGGGTCCGGCCGCGGCGGCGAACGGCGGGTCGTCGGCCTACCTTCGCTCGGCTTGACCTCGTAGGCCACGTCCTGGTTTTCTGAAACGCAGCGAGCGGACGACTGTCGGGACTGACGACGGGGCCGCCGGCCAAATTCTTACCGATGACGTCTGCGATCCACCGAGCGTGCTCTTGGAGTTTGGTGTAGACGCCGGGTTTGCGGGCCCGACCGCATCCCACGCCCCAGCTCACCACGCCCGCCAGGCCGTAGCGCCCGCCGTCGTAACAGGACAGGGGGCCGCCAGAGTCGCCCTGAAAGAGGCGCGGGCGCGTGTCAACGCCGGAGCGCTCGCCCGTGCGCGTGCGCGCGGGTCACCTGACACGCATCGACTCCGCCCGCTTCCTGTCCCGCGCAGAACATGCGCGCTCGGATCCTGCTCTTGTAGTAGCTCTGGCAGAGGTCCGAGGTCATCACGGTCACGTTGACCTCCTGAAGTCGGGTCGCGCGGGGCCCGTCTATCGGGCGGGGGGGAAGCCGACTTGAGTCGCGGCGGCGGCGCCGACGGAACTCGAGCGGAGCCGCACTCACTCTCCCGGGTGGCCCCCCAGCCGGTGACGGTGCACTTCTCCCGCGTGGGCAACGGCGCCATCCACACCCGGATGGGTCGCACGAAGCGGTCGAAGGCGAGCGCTCTCTCCAGCCTCAGCAGGGCCACGTCGAATTCTTTGCTCCCGGAGCGGTAGCGGTGGTGGCTCACGATCGCCGACACGTCCGCCACCTGGGCCGCGTTGGCAACCTTGTAGAACGCTCGCGCTAAAGCGAAGGCCGCCGTCGCTATTTGTCGGAGAGCGATCGGAAGCACCTGCTGTCCTTCCTCGTCAGGGTCATCCAGGTCGTGTTTTCCCGCCAGGACCGTCCAGAAAGAGGCTTTGTTGTACCTGCGGCGACACAAAAGCTCAAAAGCGGCGGCGGCGTCGTCGCGGTCGCCGAGCGAGCGCGGCCGAACGGCACCTTTTGAAGCAGTGCGCCGCCGAGACCACCCAGAGCGGCGCCAGGACGGCGCCCCCGCACGCCGGCATGGTGGCGAGGCGCAGCGACACCTGCCACGGCCACGAGTGCGCCCACGCCTCCTGACCGCCGATGATGCGCGTCGCCGCTTTCTGATGCGCCACAAACGAGCGCACCCCCGCCAGTTCTGAGGACACGCGCGGCCCAAAGTCAGGAAGGAAGCTCTTGTACTTTGGAGCCGAATGATAGCGCCTCGTGTGGCGGTACCTTGACTTACGAGTTTAGCCCCCCCCCCATTCCAATTCTATTCATCTGTTGACTTTGGTCCATTTCCTTTCACAGCGTCACATCTGAGGCCCCCACCCACGCAACTCGCAGTTGGTCCAGCGAACCCGAAAAGCGGCGAATCCAGCCGGCCCCCGCCGGTGAGCGGGAAAACCGGTAAGTCAAAGTGCCGCGAGAGGCGTCCGAAGCGGTACCGTAGCGTCCCGCGAAATTCCCCGAGTGGCGCTGGGCTCGGGGTGCTCCCCGGGTC